ACACAGAATTCAGCAAGTATGCTTAGTAGCACTGAAAGATCTGAAAGTATGCTTGTGAAACCACCTGCCGGTGTGGGCAAGAGTGATTATGCACAGCAAGATTCAAGAGATGCTTCTCAAAGAACTCTGCAGTCAAATTTCACAGACCAGCATATACATAGATGTGGTTATTTGTGATTATGCATGTATATTATTCTGATTGGCACTCACAGCAAGGTAGCCAAAATGCCCTGAAAGGCAAAGCACACAGATGAAGTCAAGAAATAAAGCAGAACAGGTCTATGCCTTAGGGCACAGCTTTTTTACCTGATATTTTCGGAGTATTTAAATAAGCTTCTCCACTCTCAAATTACTGTTGCTTCACTGGATGACTAACTCAGGCAGCATGTTTTGCAAGAGATTTTGAAGGCTAATCATGGGGTTTAAGTGCCTATTACAAATTTGTTTTGCTTGGTGCAGAGAATATACATAGATTTATATTTGAGTCCAGAAACTGAACTTACTGCTGAAGTACAACCTGCTTTAGCAATAAGGAAGAATCCCTTAAGTTGTTTACAGTGAACATTTCCAAGCCAAGAAACACAGAAAAGCAATACAGACCATCTGTTTTGCTACAAGAATTGCAAGTAACATTAAAGAAAACTGTGTCTGGGGGACAGTAAAACCTTCTGAAGGAGCAAATGGCTTCTCACCAAGTATAGAGCAAAGTCCCACTGTTGGACTCAGCCTGATCTACACTTGAAATCTTAAGGCTTCAGTTGCAAATAAGCCCACGTTTATTGAAACAAATGGCTTAAATTCTGAAGTCAAGCATTTTCCAGTTGGAAATCTGATTGAGATCCTACTTGTGTTTTGGAATTACTTGTCAACTCTCAGGGAGTGAGGTTTGTCTGAGCCACAGTGGAACAACAACTCTTCCAGATCTAAGTACATCCCTTGCATCACTGCTGCTAGAATTTCTAAATACTTCATAGAAAAACTGAAGAACATAGATGGTATGCCATCTTCTCTCAAGAGGAGATGAATGCATGTAAGTAAGCGAGCAGTTCAAGAAAAAGTGTGAGAATTATTTCTAAGGAAAAGCATTCAGCATGCTAAAGTGATATTAATACTAGATTAGTCCAAGAGTTACTGAAAAAACTGGTGGTCATGGAGTGGCTGCAGTATGTCTGACACAAACCATTTCTCTAAGCAGGAGAAAGAGGATGTGGCAACACAGGCACAAGTGCATGGCTGAAGAACCATGGAGTGGAGCAGAGGATAGCCAGTTCTGTCAAGGAGAAATTGCAAGTGCTACAGTCCCACTGTATGGGAGGCCATGCCATGGTGAACACCAACAAAAACACCCTCTTTCCTTGTTTCTGTGTTTCTTCCCTCACTGACTCTCCCAGGCTCTGATCACCTACAGACACATGTCCCATGCACTCCCTTCATTTTCAGACAAGCTTGCCTAATTTTTTTTACTTGCCTTACAACTGATTAAGACCCTCAGACAAATTAGCACCCAGTACTCTTCCATATCTGCAGGTCCTACCTTTGGCTGCACAGTTTTCCAGCAAGTATTCGTTCCCTCACCACCACATCATTCAACTTGATCCAAACTAAGTTACTTTTTTTCCCAACCTTTTTACACCTACAAGAAAGGAAAAATCCCAGCATCCCTTGGCATTGCCCAGGTGTACTAGACACACTAATGTTTGTTCTATTTTGTCCACATATTTTACACAAAAGCTTCAAGTCCTTCCACTGAAGAAACATCTGGAAGACAGCATTCAGGCACAGGTCTCCACGGTCCAGTACTTACCAGCATCTCACACATAACTGATGTATTATACCACACCCATCAGACAGCAAGTTGTCCCAAGTGCCCAAGAAAAAACATGAATAAATTGGTAGATATCACAATTATTTGTATTATCCTAAAAAGCCCATTTAAAACAGAATAAAAACTGAGAAAAAGCTGTTTTGTGTATTACCCTTCACAGGTTTTAACAGATAAGGTTAATACAGACACAGCAACTGCCAATAAGGCAGTTCCTCAATTCTACCCCCAAACACGGGGTTCAGAACAGAGACTTTGCTTCCCCTGTAATAACCAACTTCTGGGACACCTCATTTACAAACACTGCCTGTCACTTCTGACACCCTCATCAGGTCTACTGGTTCAGTATCACATTATTTCACTTATTCTTCCACAATCCGAGCCTCATATCAACGGCCTGCTTCAAAACCAGACAATCATATGCAGATTGCAATCAGGACACACAAATGTACAGTCAATAAATACGTAGAAGTTCCTTGTTACTTCAGCTTCTGTTCTTCTCAGTAGTAGGTTGTCAGTATTCATCATTATTTAAGGAAATTTTCCCAAGTGAGTTGATTCCAAGCAACAAGAATGCTGCAGAGCCTGTCTACATCAGGAAGCTTTTGCTTGAGCTACCTACCCATACCACAAGCTTGCATACAAGTGGAAATTTACTACACTTGTACATTCTAAAATGACTCTTGGTGAGAATCTAGGCTTGTAATAGCTCTGGGCTTATGCTGTAACAGTTATTCCCTAATGCCTGTTCTGATTATTTTAAGTACAAACCAAAGCAGTAGTTCAGTCAGAAGCAGCAGCAGAAGTGCTGGAGTAAACAGGGTGCTGACAGCTGCTGGTGTTTTACATAGGAGGTCACAGAGCCCTAGTTTGAGCTGGATTGCTTTAAATGTTAGTTGCTGCCTGGAGCACTGTTTACAGTAATGCTCACTCCCCTCTGAGGTGAGCTGCTGTAAGCAATAACAGAAAACTTCAGTTGGAAAAAATTAAGTATCATTAGATACAACTAAAGGAAAGCTGTTCAAGGAAATTACAGTTGCACTTCCATTCTATAGAAATGCTATCACTAGGCAGCAATGTTACTACAGATTAGTAAGAAACTAAATACAGTTACATAATCTCAGTTATTATTTTAAGGACCCCAAGCATAGTTTATCTACAGGAATTCTCAAATAGTGCCTCTAATAACTTCTTGCCAGTCTATTTTGCTGCCTTTCTGCTAAGGTCAGTATCTTCTAAGCAGCATGGGGATGCCAGTCTGAAAGTGAAATTGATGTCCTTTAAGACTTGCCACCATTCACTTTCCTTTCCCCCTTATACCCCTATCTGGGCCTGGGTACTAGTAGCTTGTACAAGACCCTCACACTCATAGCACAGGCTGCATGTTGCTGCCCACCTGCCAATGGACCAGCTTAGCATGCAAGTGCTATTTTATAATTTCTCACCAGAAAAAGGCACTGAGTCTTATGACTTGCTCCATGTACAGGTGGACTTTGTCCTGCAGTTGAACTCCTTTTCACCTTCTGATGCCTAAATTACTTTTGATCCTCACATTGAACTGCAGCTCTGAGTTCTCACAATAATTACCATGGGTAGTACTTTTCCACCCTGACATCAAATGTTGCCATGAATACATATTCGTTAAAAGCCAGCATCACAAATAAATTTGAAAACAAAATGCCTACATGTATTTAATTTTGAAGTCATATCTTATCAGCTGAGCTTTTAATAAAGAAACTTGCCTTATAATAGGAATTACAAATTCTACTTCTAGGGAGAAGGACTGTAGGATGAAATCTGAAAGCCGACACTAGGAAATACAGGACTCTGAGGTCAGTTTGGAGGATTCAGCAGAAGTATCCTATGAGAAGCAATATCACATTGATTAAGAACATAGGGGAGAGACAGTAAGATTCCTATAGGACTGAATGAACCAGTCACCCTATTTCATACACACTAGATGACACTTACTTGCATAAGTGCTGAGCTACCAGGCAGCAGCTGGAGATTTACAGTGTTGACACAAACATTTCCTGCCTAGCAAAACGTCCCTGTAACAAGAATAACAGCTAGAGAGATTGCAGCCACAAAAATCAAACCCGTACTGGGTTTGATGCCAGTAGTACAACACTTGCACTTGTAAGTACTTGAATTACCTTGTACTACCATGAGGAAGCTACTCCCCTTTTAGCTATGCTGTTCATAGAATATAAAAGTCATTGTTATGAAGTGTTACAAAGGACAGAACTTCAGTTTCTGAAATTGCCAGTAAATTACATCTTTTTATACTCAAAATTCAATGCAGTTAAACAGAAGACAGTCCATTACAAACTCAAAAAACACAGGACATGCTACTAAAGTGAGGAGCACCCAACATGTTCAGTGCTGTACCGCACAGTCCAAAAGAGGCTGGAATTAACCATGGCATACTTCAGTGCTGATTTACCCAACATCACGGTTGCGCTATTGCTACCACAAACATCAGAAGAAAATGACAGCATGAAAGATAGTGGTTAGGATAAGAGGTCTCTAAACTTGAAAAACAAAAGCTGTTACAAAGAAGTTAGACTCCATCTGGTGTCTTTATGGAAGAAATGCTAAGTTCTGTTAGAAGCAATATGTTGTTCAGAAGAACCAAAAAGATTCAGGAAGCTACATTGTGGAAATTATAGTATGATTCCTATCAATGCAATTCTATGAAATTGCAAGTCTGTCTAAAACGATGCATCAGCTTTTGTGGCTTAGTAGCACTGCTAGGTTGTTTTTTTTTTTGGTTGTTGTTTCTTTGGGTTTTTTTGTTTTTGCCTTAAATGCAGAGCCACAGGCCACCTCTATTCATCTGAACATCTTTAAGAGCCACAGCATGTGGGACATCATTTATGCAGTGCATACATATACAATAAGCACACAGGAGATATGTTTCCAAAACAGAACAAAGTACACTGAATAAGTTAATACATTATTCACTACATTATACTACAACTACCTTCATTGCAATGGTGTGACTAAAACTAGCCACTGAAGCAAAACACACAAATAAAACACAAAATAAGTATTTGGTTGTCAGTATACATGCTCAATGTCTGTACAGAAAACAGCCTTACGTATTCTAACCAGCAACTAGAAATCAGCACTAAGTGAGCCACTACATCCACTCAAAGGCAGCTTCCTCTCTCACCTGGAGTACTGTGTCCAGATGTCGAGTCCTCAGTATAGGAGAGACATGGAACATCTGGAGCACATCCAGAGGAGGACCACAAAAGCAATCCAAGGGATGGAGCACTTCTCCTGCAAGGACAGGCTGACAGAGTTGGGGCTGTTCAGCCTAGGGAAGAGAAGGCTCTGGAGAGACCCAATAGTGGCTTTCTAGTATCTAAAGAGAAAACAGAAGAAAGAAAGGACTCTTTTGCAGCTGTAACAGGACAAGGTGAAACAATTTCAAACTATGAGGGGGGGTGACTTAGAAAAAAGGGTTTTTTTTTTTTTTTTTTTTTAGTAATGATAGTGAGGCACTGAAACATGCTGCCTAAAGAGGTGGTAGGTGCCCCACTCCTCAGACACTCAAGGTCAGGCTGACAGGACTCTAAAGCAGCAAGCTCTCACTGCGGCTGTCCCGGATCACATTACAGGGGAATTGGGCTAAATGACCTTTAGGAATCCTTTCCAACCCAAACAATTCTCTGATTCTTTGCCCTAGCATTGAAAGTTCAGCATTCGTTTCCAGACTTCATACAGCATTGTTTACTTATAACCTATATAGATACCAGCACAAAACAGTCTGTCAGCAAAGGAAAGAAGACCCGCAATGACATAAAAGCCAGCATTTCTTCCACACAGTAGTTCCATTAGCTTATTTTGGTACAGGGCTCACCACACTAGTCCTTTGTTAATAGCAGTGCAAACCAGAACTAAGTAAACAAGGCAACTACCCCCCTTACCACAAAAAGTACTACCCCATAGCACCCAAACAAGGAGAGCCATAGTAACCAGGGCCAGCCACAGTCCAGCCAGCAGCAGAAACAGCTATATTATCAAGGCAGGCTCTAAAGACAACATAAAGACAGGCACTCACCAGCTCAAGCACTGCCTGCAAATAGAGCCTTCTAGCAAGAGCTTTCTCCCCAGCTGCTTAAATGCAGCTTCAAGGCCAACAGGTGGAGGTGCATGAGTGAAGGCCCATGTGAGGCTGATGAGGGCAATCAAAGCTTGCTGACCTACTGATAGCTCTGATAAAGCCAAGTGTCAGCTTTCTGGTAAGGGAGAAAAGAGTGTATCTGGGTCTGAAGGGAGTTGATGCTGTGTGTGCACACTGATCACAGCTTAGATGCAATTAATATTTTTGAGGGGTCCCTACGTAAAAACCCTTTTGGATGTTAAGGGTGAGCTGAACTTCACAAGTGGGGAAGAATAAGAATAAGAAATGCATGCAATATTTGAAAGCTGAATATATCTATATTTCCTTTTCTTCTGATGGCTGTGGTCTTCATATACCTGTCTCCTTGTTCTAGATTGCAATCTGTCACAGCTGCAGAAAATACTGAGTGCAGTGGGAGAAAAAAAGTGGGCATCTGAAGATAAGCACCTTAGTCCTGAGATATGACAGACAGGCTGTTAGTTGCCTCTGCGCTATCAGATTCTTCAGATCTTTCAGAAGTCATCCAACTCAAAAGGGCATATTTTGGAGCCTGTGCAGCACCCTGCATAGAACTGTTCAATGACAAAATATTTGAAGGAGCTTGAAAAGAGTTCAGAGACTTATCTGTAACCTGTTTTACCTGTTTAGTCTTAAGTTACTTGGAATTAAATGATAATTGACATTTGGAAAAGGAATTGTAGTTCTGTGTGATGTAGTGGGTTAATAAAGTCTTTACCAGAAAAATAAACAAAATGCTCTTCATTGCTGAAATGCTGCTACTCTTTGAAACTTGCCTTGAAATGTACCCTGTGTGCCCTGGTACTCCTAAGGGAGTTTGCAGTAGCATGTATATTTACCTAGATACATCTGATTGTTAAAGAAAAAAAATATATATATACGTATGCATAGTTATAATGTAGACCAATAATACTATTATTCCATATAACATGGATAGATACAATGCTGATAATCCTTAGAAGGATCAATTTCATATTTAAATTTAGAGAGAGATCACTGTAGCAGGAGAGAGATAGATCTATGCATGTACAGAAATTCTAATAAACTGTTTGGAAGCTTCTGCAGAAAAAAAAATGGTTGGCAGCTTGAAGTAAGAATGCTACAGAAAATATCTGATATACCTGTATACAAGAATTTCTACCATTTTATCTGCATGAATGCTCTACTGGCTGTAAGCAGGAAAGGTATTAGAAATTTCTCATTTTTTATCTTCACTGGAACCATTTACACCACTGAGCACATCCTGTATTATTCAGACAATGTACTCAGTAGTCCTTCTGTAAGACCTGCATGCTGAGTAAGAAAATCAGCAATTTACAGGGTGATGGGATTTACAGATACCAGCAGTTGGTGAACCTTTAGTCCTTGAAACTGCAGTTGCTGTATTACCAAGTGTCCAAGGAGGAATGATGTAGTATAGTGCTATGGCATTTGCACCTTGACCAATTGCAACTGTGTGTCTTGTGCAGTTAAAAACAATGTGGAAAGTACTCTAAAAGTTTGTAGGAAATTTACACTCCTACTTGTTCATTTATTTTACTGAGAAAGATTATTGAAGCCGAAGTTGAACCTACTCTGTGCTTGCAAGGCATTATGTCTAGTAAGATAGCTGGGGGCTAATATTAAATGGACAAATTTGAGACAGTCACGAAAGGATCTTGAAAAATTGAGTGTATAAATGCTCATGGCTACATCTACATCTTCATCTTCAGAGAAAGCGGCAACATCTGGAACTGTCTCCTCCAGCATTTTGCTTGCAAAGGAGATAAAAAGATTGCAAGAAACTGCTGTACCAACTAAGACTTACTAAGACAGTTGAGAGGAATTGGCAAGCAAGATAAACTTCAGTTTCTTGGATGTAGCAAGGAATGTCAGATGCTGCTAAGTCACCAGCTTGATTTCAGGCAGTGATTGCTAGGAAGTGAATTGGTTTTTGATGAATTGCCTTCATCTGAAGTGTGGGAACCTGGGCTGCAAGGAAGCAAAGGCTGCTCACTGATTGCCCCTTCACAATGTTGCCTGGCAGAACTGCCCTGCTGCTGTCTCAGCAGGAGGGATCCATCCCGAACAGTGCTTCCTTGGCTCTGTCTCTAAAGTTAGCTGAGTGAGCTGTGCACTGGGATGGAAGCTTGAAATGCTGCATTTCAGATTTAGTAGGCAGGTGAGAATTTCTCCAAATAAAAGAAATACTAAAGAAGGAAGGATGCAGAACAGGCTTGCACAGACAAATAAGTTTCTCTTTTTACAGTGGTAGCTCAAAAAAACCTGAGTCAAGGGCAGATATCCTCTTTTTAGACATGCAGGCTTGCGCCTAGAATTAATGATCTGAGTTAGAGAATATCAAGTGATTGAAAGCTCACAGGCTGGATACTACACACTTGGAATGCTTAAATAGTCCACATTTTTACTCCCAGCCACTGGAAAAAGAATCTCTTAAATAGAAATTCACTGTGAAATGCCAGTGTTCTCTTCCCAGAGCTGTAAACTGAATCAAATAGGAACTGAAACTGGGAATCTCCTTTCGTTAATTAGAGTTTAACTGTAGATGTCCATCTACCTACATGTATGACTCTTCAATATTGATTAAAAAGAGCACATCAAAATAACCTTACAGTCTGAAAGCCAGGATCTCAAATCTTAGGAAGTTTTCAAATTCAAGCTGCATGTGCAAGTCTGATTTAGTATTTTTGCTTATGTGCTGTTACACCAGTGTGATAGTGCACAGTTACCAGACGTGGTGAGCATTTCTCAGAACCCTTGCCTCTTGTTTTCCTCCTGAATGATGCTGAGAAACATTATGTTTATGTAAAAAATACTGATGAAAGGCCATATTATTGTAGGAAAGGGGAATCTATTTTTGCTTCTCTCTGATTCTGAGTGAGATGGGAGCACACAGCAATTTGCAACTGCAAACTGTGACAACCCTAATACGAGGTAAAAGAACCATTACCCTCTAGATTCTGGCCCTGCTTTGAGAGGGAAATTCAGATGAAATCCTTAACAAGAACCAATTAACTAAGCTTCAGTAACCAGCCTAAGAATTGTAAGGCCTGCCATCCTGTACATAAGGAGACAGAGAAGAATTCTTTGACAGAGTGTAAATTTCATATTAAATGAGATTATAAGCATGCTGACTAGCTGGCCCGATTTTGCTTCTGCATGTAATGCTATATACTGTTCCTTGCTTGCAAAATTGTACCTCCTATTGATGTCAGCAATAGTAGCAGTTACTTCATTTCTAAAGCAACAAAAGCCATCTTCTCTAACTCTCTCACAAGGGATCTCATCAGGATAGTTTATACACAGTTAAAATAATAATAGATCATCCAGCAATTTAAGTAACATGCTTTTGCCAAAAAGAGAGGAATGTAAGGAGAAGAGGGAATAAACTCATCAGGGTAGATAAAATGTTCCACAGTTTCATTGGCCAGGTCAGCACATCTTCACGGCTAGCACAGCTTCTAAGCCACCATCTGAGGATATTGGGAGGGGCTGGTGAGAGGTTTTATGGTGTCCTGAAGCTGACACCCAGCTGCATCTCTTCAGTTTCACTGTTATGGTCCCAGACAGTCCAAAAACATGCACAGTAGGTAAGGAAAGGCAAAGCCACCCTCATACATTCACCTTTTTTCATGTGTTTCATCCTCTAAGTAGTGCTTTTCAGAATTTTAATAACATTTCAGAAGCTCATGAGTTCCCATTTTTATGATATTTGACATTTTTTTCAGAACAGAATTTTAGATATTTTTTTTCCTTCTTTTCCAAGCCTTTGTTGTTGTTATTCAGTTAATTTTCTGACTCCTATTTATTCCACAAGTATCTTCTATCCCCCTTATCTGTTTGCCTCTCATCCCCTGCTCCCTTTGCTACACTGAAACAGACTTGACAGCCTGGTGATCATTTCTACTTTCCACCCTTCAGTTCATCTGCTTTGAGATAGTAATTATTGGAGATATAAGAACCTGGGTACAGAATTTCAAAATGTAATTGGCAAACAAGGATGAGATATTCTCACTGACAGGAAAAGACAGTAAACAAAAAAATAATTCTTCTATGAAGGAGCTTAGCAGCGTGGAACGTTATTACCAGGCATTACCCAACTGGGAAAATGCCCTCTGGCGGTCACACTGCCATCAGTGCAATCACTTCTCGTTAATGGCGATGCTCTTAACTAGTTAACCGCTGTGATTTGTGTGCTCTTGACTAAAGTTCCAGTGTTTCAGTGTCGTAAGTCTGATTTTAAAGGATGGATCAGAGACCTAAAGGAGTTTGCTTTCCAACACCATGTTGCGAGAGGAGAAATGTGAGTTAAGGAGTGTTAGTAGCTAATTTATTTCAATAGAAGAAAAAAAAGTTGATTTTTGGTTTTGATTGTGCAAATGTTTTCAAATCATTTTACTTCCTGTCTAATAATAATAATAATTTAAAAATGGGATTCATACTGAAAATAGAAAGGTACACTTGTTTTCTAGTTACAGTACTCTGATTTTATCAGGAATATGCAATTCTGGTTTTGGGGGAGTTGAGTGTAAAGTGCATTGATTTTAGAGACTGAATCTAAATTTCTCTGTATAAAATGAACCAGCCTCCTACATTTATATTCAATTTGATCTAGGCACTGCATCCTTGAGTCATTGCAATTTCTGTCAGCACCGAAGCCCCTGACTGCTCTTACTGCTAGCATGCTGGCTGATGCAAAATGCAGCATTACATCTCCTGTTACAGGTTAGAATATATTTTAATCCCATAAAAATGTCATAACATTTTTAATTTCTATATTTACAGATATCAAGAATAACACTGCATGCATGTGAAGCGTACAGAATGTTTAACGGAAGAAAGATTCACTCAGTGTAAAAGCCACCACTGCACAATGCCATTTTTTTTTTGTTAGTGTGCTTTTTCCTAGCTGGGTTTAAACTTCCAGGTACGTGTTTCAGTTCATTGTGTTACCCCACATCCAGTCTCCATATGAGTTTA